AAAGAAAAAGAAAGAAAGAAGAAGAAAGGACGGACGAAAAGATAAGATATATGTGGTTAGGTTTATTTAATGGTCCCATTCCAAAAAGGATTGGGCTTCGGACCCAAAATACCTGATTAAATTGTCATAACTTGAGCTCTGTAACTCCGATTCGCGAGCCGTCTGAACCGACGCGATCACAAAAATATTTCCTACAAGATGACATAAAAGTTGGGCTTAAAATCCAAATTATAATTTTAACCCCTTTTTAGGCCCAATTCGTAATCAATTGCTCTGACAATTTAATTAATTCTTTTTGGGCCAGATTTCGGGGCGTTACAAGGGCAATCCGATGTTAGGGGCGTTGAGTTCGGGGATCGTGAGCTGTCGAGGTTGGGGATTGGGTGCTGATACATCTTCGTCATCATCAACGAAGAATCATTATTGGCTGAGGAGGTAGTGGATGATTCAGCCAAAGAAGAGAAAGGGAAGTATTGTTAAAAAATTTCACATCTCGACTAACAAAAACTTTGTTAGTTTCCAAATCAAGCAATCGCGATCCCTTTTGGCCAGAGGGATAACAAAAAAATAGGCAGCGTCGAGAACGGCTTGCAAACTTATCCCCACGATGAGTTTGGTTGTGGGCGTAAGCCAAGCAACCGAAGGTACAGATGTGTTTGAAGTTAGGTGCTTGGCCAAACAAGACTTCATATGGTGTTTTCTGATGGATAAGAGGAGATGGAGTTTGGTTAATCAAATAGTCTGCAGTGAGAATACAGTCTCCTCAAAACTGGATAGGTAGGCTGGCTTGGAACCGCAATGCACGTGCCACGTTTAGGAAGTGGCGGTGTTTGCGTTCAACTTTACCGTTTTGTTAAGGTGTTCAAACACAAGATGACTCGAAGATAATATCACAAGATTGAAAGACTGGTTTCATGGAAGTGAATTTCTTACTGTTATCACTTCGAATTATTTTGACTTGCTTTTTAAACTGGCGTTCAACCATGGCCAAAAAAATTAGGGAGAACAGAAGTTGTTTCATCTTTTATTGTTTATCAAATATACCCAGACGGCACGAGAAAAATCATCAACAATGGTTAGAAAATATTTTGCCCCTGTTCTAGAAGCAGCTCGATATCCACCCCACAAATCACAATGAATGAGAGCAAAAAGAACAGTAGTTTTATTTGAACTAATGTGAAAGATTCACGACATTGTTTGGAACAAAAACAAATGTCACACGGTGTATCAATGACATTTTTTGTAAGAGAAGATACTTGAGACAGATATTTGAGAATAGTATAAGAGGGATGTCTTAGGGGGTGTTTGTTTTTTCTGCAGTAAAAGGTCTGCGGTCTGCGGACCACTACTGTAGACATCTGCAGGAGAAGTGGTGGACCGAAGGTCTGCGGTCTGCAAGAAGAAGACTGTTTGTTTTTTTAATGTCTGTAGACTGCTATATAAATTAATGGTGGTAGTGTATGGTGGTGGTGTATGGACGATTGTGGTGGTGGTGGAGGGTGGTGGTGGACGTTGACGGAGGTGGTGGTGG